ACCAACAAATTTTAGGGGGGGGGGAACACCACCCCAAAAATCCCCCAACCAGGGTGGGGGGGTGGGGCATTTGGGGGGGTTAAAGTCCACCCATCTTAAAGTTGCTGAAGTTGAACCCTGCTCTGGATAGTTTGTCAGGGGTCCAACAACAACATCTCCCTCTTTCATTCTGCTGACTGGGCAGAAATTTTAAAGGCAAGTGGAAAGGAACTTGGCCTTTGAATGCATATAACTTGTTAAGCAATTTAAATACTTGCAAATAAAAATTTATTATAAATAGTTAAAATTGTACAAAAAGCAAAGACTTGTGACATTTGAAAATAAAAATCTTGAGTTGAAAAGCCATAATTGGAGAGAATGGGTGACAAATGGTCTATACAACCCTGGGCGATTTCCCAGTATGTCCACACCAAATGTGGATTATCTCAAATCCTGCCACATAATTTCATGTATTTGAGGTCTCCTTGATAAATATAAATAAGTGGGATGTCTGCAAAATGCTAGGTTTTCAGACTGGTTTTTCTGGCTCGTAGTTTTTCCAATGTTTTCTGTAAAGAAAGGGGAGAAAATAATCTTAGCAATGAGTAAATGGCAGAAATCTGAAAGTGATCAAAATCATGGCAAAAAGATCTACGGTCAAAGTCCTGGACAGCTACAAAGTTTTGTGGGTAATCTTTGGCCATCCGGCTTATCCAGACTTTTGTGTGTTGTGCCTTCATTTTAGGATTCGTTTTCCTTGCAGTTGAAAGGAGACATTGCCAATTCTAGTCCCGATTAATCTAGAAAAACTAGATGTTAAAAAAAAGATTCAAGTTAGATCCAGGTCCTTTTTCTAGCTTTCCATCATTAGCAGCCATGTTTTAGCAGCCTTCCTGAACCTGGTGTCCTCCAAACATGCTCGGATATCCGCTTGCATAATTTCTAATTAGCATGGCTAGGAGCTATGTTGGCTGAGAGTTTTGGGATTTATTCAGTTGCACCTCGAGGGTTCCAGGTTTTGGGGGAGGGAGCTTAAAAAAGGGTTCAAAGGTTGGCTCTTCCATTTTCTAATAATTAAAAAACACATGGTTCTTATAAGGAGGTAGAATGTCTTCCTCTCTCTTCATGTGATGAAGGTAAATAGTATTATTACAGTAACAAAACAGTAAATTTTTTATTGTTGCCTGTTTTATCTGCTCTACTTTTAAATTACAGGTAGTCTTCGCTTAATGATGGTAATTGGGACCAGAATTTCCATTAAGTGATGCGCTTGTAAAGCGCAGTCATGTGACCGCATCACTTAGCAATGGCAATCCCAGCACTGAAAAACCCAGGTCATTAAGCAAGGATTTCATGTGACTATGACTTGCAATTTCCTGCGGGCTTCCCACAAGCAAAGTCAATAAGGAAGCCAGCTGGAAGTTGTAAGTCCCAACTGGCTCGCAATCAGGCTGGAGGGCGAGTGAGTACTATGGAATGAGGCAGGGGGTGCTGTGGCAAGTGGGATGAGGAGGGGTTGCTGTGGTCCCTGGGATCTCATACTGTGGCTCCTTGAGAGAAAAAGTGGCGGGAGTGACTTGCAATCTTCTCTGATGGCTTCCCCATTGGCTTTGCTTGAGGAAAGCCGGCAGGGAAGTTTGCAAATGGTGATCATGTGACTGTGGCGCGCTGCAACTGTTGTGTGAGCTGATTACCAAGCACCTGAATCGTGATAACGTGACCATGGGATTGTGCAATGGCTGGAACTTTGAGGACCAGTCAGTACCACTCATTCAGTGCTGTCACAACTTTGGTCGCTGAACGAGTGGTTGTTAACTGGGGATTACCTGTATTATTTTACCCATTATTATACTGGTAGCTTTCATGAACACTGTTCACAGTGGAAAGACAGATTATAAATAATGGTAACAGCTGTTTTTAAATTTACTTGCATAAAGATACAATGAGGAACAACATGGTATTAAAATGATTTTACTCCTGGGACTTATTGCCAACCACATTTGGTTTTCTAAATCGCAAAAGGTATGAATTCCTCTCAAGCTAAACATGGTTTAAGCCAATGCCTAAATTTTAAGCCAATTTGATTCACAATTAGAAGGACAAACACGACCAGCAGAGTTACCTTAAGAGTCTTCTTTTTACTTTTAGAGCCTGGGATAGAAGTGGAATATTACAGTATGTTGCAAATGTTTTACCTTTTGAAATTCTTTTGCTCTTTCCCTGTTCCTGGCATAATTTTCTCTTCTGTCTTTCTCTTCCTTTCTGTTTTTCACTTCTGATAGATTATTATACAATCTGCCAAAAAATAGAAAGCTGTTAAGGTTACCAGTAAATTATTCAAAAGGCAACCCTTTATGCAGAGGGACTAGTAATATTTTAGGGGAGATTTTGAATCTCCAGTCAAGATATAAAAATAGTAATGCTAGACCTAATGCACATACTTACTAGTGTGAGCACATGGGGACCGTCCCTCCCCAATTGTTTCTATCCGTCTTACCCAATCTGGCAGGAAGGGCATGCTCCGGGTACTGTTGGCTGGTGTGGCCCAAAAGGAGAGCCTTTCTGCCATGGCACCCACTCTTTGGAGCATCATCCCCCTGAGATTAGACTGTCCCTGTCCCTGTTGGCCTTTTGTAAGGCACTGAAAACTTGGCTTTGTGCTGGAGCTTGGGGCGCCCTGGCCACAGGATAGAGCCTGTCTCCTGGCTGTGTGAACAACTGGTTAGATTATGCCCTGCTGCTACGTGTTTTGTTTTTATTTGCTTTTTTATATTGTGTATTTTATTTGTTTTATTGTAAGCCAGTAGAATCACATAAAAGTGAGATAGGCAGCTATATAAATTGAATAAATAAATGTGTTGATGCTTTTTGAAAAATCAACTACAAGTGTTAAGTTTAAAATCCCTTTTACTGCTATGCCAGAGTCCCATTCTAGACTGGACTCGCCAGCACTGTTGATGGTGGTGCTAAACAACGAAGCAAAGCACTAATACATACAATGTGGTTAAATGGCCTCAAAATTGATGAGAACAATAGGGGGGAAAAGGCCTGGCAATTATGTTATAAACTAAACTCTTAAAGCCTTGTCCATTTGTTTTTAAAACCTGCCACACGGTTCCACTTCTCTTTCAATAGGAGCTTTGGTTCTGCCATGACAATGATGAATTCAGTGTTCAAATGTAAAAAAAAGAACTAAAAAGATCCTGTCCTAGTGCCTGGAGGCTTTGAAGGTCTGGATGGGGAAGAACTGCTGCTGACTCAATTTCACCAGAGTAGCTGTGGATGTTGGGGCCAGCTACGTCTGGGGATATTCTTTCATCTTTAACCTTGAATGAGGTCACGCTTCCCCATTCTGGGCTGGTCTGTGATTTGGGGTCTTCCTGGACTCAGGGCTCCTTCCCCAAAGAGCAGGTGGCAGCTGTGGCCATGAAAGCCTTTGCACAGCTTCGTCTGGTGTACCAGTTGTACCCTTTCCTAAATGGAAGGTTCTTCAGACCATCACTTACACTCTAGTCACTTCATGGCTCGATTACTACAACATGTACTGCAGGGGGCTGCCCTTGAAGACCAGCCAGAAACTTCAACTGGCCCAGAATGCAGCTGCACAGGCAATGGTGGGCATGCCTTGGTACGCCAATGTGATATCTTTACTTCGCAAGCTGCACTGATTGCCAGCATGCTTCCAGGTGCAATTCAAGATGTTGATTATAGCCTGCAAAGCCAAAATCAAAGCAGTTGCCTGGCTAAAATTACACGGTTTGCTAAAAGTGCATTGGTTTAATTTCTCTGAAGCCAGGCTGTGCAGTACCTTGAAGTCCGCTGCTGCATCTGTACTGCCGCCACTTTCCTCTCAGCTGGAGAGCACCCTTTTTCTTCCACTTTCTTCAAACGATTAACAGCTGCACCTTGAATCCAACCAGGACACATGAAACATAACAAGGCTTAGGAGATTCAACAGACAATCTTTTGGGAGAGAGCAGAGAGAACTAAAAACAATTCCTCCACTGCTGTTCATGTGTTTCATTGCACATCAAGGAGCAAATGGCTCCAAATGCTTGCATGAAAGTCAGACACACAGGAGCAAATACGGAAATACATGGATTTTGTCCATGTCATTCCTGCACACCTCTCCGTCTCAGAATGTTTACAAATCACAATACTAACAAATTAATTTTAAGCAAGTTATTGTTTGGATGATAGCAACAGCCACAAGCAGGAGGTTCTTCTAATTGTTAGTCTGCATTTCATACTCCTCTCCCGCAATTTATACTTGTTTGCTGATAATTACCAGAAGGTGTCCAGTTCTCTTTTCGTTTATGGAGTTGTGTTTTTTTCAGTTGAGATGCCTTAGTCTGAGTCTTTTCAAAACTTCGCTCTCGATTTTTTAATTTCTCCATCCTTTTCAAAGATCTCTCAATGAAATCTTTCTTCCGCTTCAGAAATGATTCCTGCAGGCTGCCATGGACAGGTGCAAGCTCTGACAATATTACTGTGGGGAGAAAATAAGATCAGCTTTATAAATAGTAACAGTGCAAATCTATATCTATCTATCTATCTATCTATCTATCTATCTATCTATCTATCTATCTATCTATCTATCTATCTATCTATCTAT